AGGTTGGTTGCTCCTGCCATATCAGCAGGAGAATTTGTTGCTAGGTGTATCTTTGCTCATCCACGTCGATGCCCTGCTGGGTGAAACAAGGAATTCAAGTTTAAAAATGGCCAGTGGGAATCCTCTGCCAGGCTCTTGCCCTAGATTATGCAAACTAGGATTGTGTAGATGCACCTGAAAACCAAAAAACTGAGTGTCTGCCCCTCCCTGTCCTCCCAGCTCTCCCAGCCACAGGTGCCCTGGCCAGTGCCATGTCCTCAGACCGCAGGCCTTGCAGCCACAGGACACTATTGGTCCAGCCCAGGACACGGGCTTGTCTACTGAGCAGCCTGCTGTTTGTTTTGTCCTGCAGACTTTTTAGTTCTAGGATGACCCAAATTTTCAAAATCTGTCCAAATTCCCTTTTATAAAAATAGTAGACAAAGTTCCAAAGCCACACAAAGTGTGCCATTGTGTGTGTGATTGTAAGTGTTTCTATGATCACATCATTCTTGAAAACAAAACAAACAGTGCTTCATGCACTAACAAGAGTGGCGATTCCACAACAGGGCCTGTTTGGAATAACTGCGGATTTAGTCATAGATCTCGGGAACCGCCTGGCAGAGGAGCCACTTGGGCATCAGCGGCTGGACAACCCCAGTGCTGCGGACAATACTGATGATGAACAGGAAAGTCTTGTCTTTCAGACGCTGTAAAGGGCGCGGCCCGTTGGAAGAAGGCATGAGATGGACGATAAGCACTATGACCGTTTTTTAGGACCACGGCAAGGCCAGAACCGTACACAAAGGCATTTCAATATTTCTGCAAACTCACAAAGAATGAACCATTTCCCTTTCATACTTAATAAAGATCTCCTCCGTCAGCTGCAGCTAGTGATAAGCGTAATATCCTTAAATGGTTAATCCTGGGATCACAGCTCAAGTGCTTTCTGCTGTCAGAGCAGGGGAGCTGTGAGGAGCTGCAGTGCACCTTCATAAACCCGGGGAAGAAAACATTTTTTTATTTGGCTTTTTACTCTATCTTAAATGCTTTATTTTTCAGGGGTGAGATAAGGCCTGGATCTTCACATAAAACTAGGGCTTAGCCATCCTCCGTCTCCTCGGTTAAGGAGAAGGTCCTGTCTGTGCACAGATGTCTCAGATTAAATTGTATCTCATCGTCCTTACAGCGCGAGCACTAGACGAGCTGCCAGAAGGGCCGTAGGCAAGAACGAAATGGCTTTGGTTTCAGTGCACAGCGAATTTGGCTCCGACAAGCTGAATCAGTACATTAAATGCGAATCCTCACAGATTTGAAAGCAGCCTTTAGCACAATTATTGACTGTGAGTGATGATTATGTCTAATTGGAGGAGACTTCTGCTACCTGTAGCGCTGCTGGAGTCCCCCGCGCACGGCCGGGCGCTGCCTCCTAATTCAATGTTCCAGCCGGAGAGCGGCGACTGCAGCTCAGTCCTGACGTGTGTACACACGGTCGATACGCTGTAATAAACTTCGCAGCTTCAGAAACTAGGCTGAGTATATAATTCAATTTTTTAATTCAGGAAAGGAAAATAGCTAACAAGTATGTTGGGCTACAATGATGCATTCGTTCACTGCATGCAGAAACCTCCCATGAGGAGAGCCCATGGGCCCCAGCTGCCCTTTGGAACATTCCAGAACCCGCCCCTCTCATTGTCTGTATAAAAAAACATCGGCTTCTTGGTCCAGGACCAACTTGCAGAAAATCTGTGAGGAGAAGAAACTAATGTGACAACTGTCTGTCTCTCCTTGGGTAGGTTATGCCAATAACCCAGAGAAATGAATGGATTTCTTAATAGAGTCTGCCTGCTTGCCCCGACCCAGCATATCCTGACTCACTGCCATCCCAACCACCAGTCTCACTGAGGCTCCAGACAGGGCTGGTCGTCCCAAAGTCATTTACTTTCCTCAGTGAACTAAAGGCAGTTTTCCCATTGGGTCTTATGTTTAGAATCTTATTTTGTGTGTGCGCTCTGAAACACACACACACACACACACACACACACACACACACACACCAGATCCTATCAACACACTGGCTGTGGAGGGCTCTTTTCCCATATTTATATATACATATATGGTTTTGCCCCACTGGCAGTTTTCTAGTTGGAGTCAATTCATTCTGAACGAGCACTTAGGCCACTTGACATTATTGTAAAGAGCATTTATGGCAGGATTTGTAAGTGAATTCCTTTCCTGCGCTGCAGACTCAGAGCTCGGCCACGCTTCCCTGTGAAGTCATTCCTCTTGCACAACCCTGGTCACGAGGCCTGTTTGCCATTAATTTTCCTTGTGAGAAATGGGCCCAGGTCCAGATGGATTTGAGTTATGATTTTCTGTAAATTGGAGCATTTGTTAGAGTAATAAAAACACAATCCTTTGTAAAGGACTGAAAATAGTCAGATGGACAGAGAAGTGGGTGAGCTGGTTCTCAATGCTCACGAGGAGTGGTTCCCGTTAATCCCAGAATAGACCTGGCTCACGTGCTCCGTGGCCTCGATGTGCCCCTCACGTGCATCTGCATCACAGGGGAGGGCCTTGCTCACGTGATTTGGCTGCAATTTACATCAACGTGTCTCTTCACAGTCTTATGCAAACTCAGATGAAGCCCATCTCCCATTAGGTTTGCTAAATGTGTATGGAGCTTTTGTTTTGTGTTTAAATTGAGATTAAAACAGCAGGTCACTTATTTCAAGCTGACTGATCCCTCTCCTTATTCTCCTTTTTTCACCAAAATCATGGTAAGCATTGTATGAAGTCCTTGCAGCTGTCTGGGAGGTGCTTTAATGCTGACACCACACGCACGGCAGATACCTGCGAACCAGCACCTTATCTCAGAATCTCAGGCAGTTCCCTAGAAAAATCTCCACCCCATGGACTGTGATGAGGATCCTGAAAATCAAAAATGCGTGATTAAAAACCTTCAGCAACAACCACAGAGCTAAGTGACAGATTGCTGTCCAGTGTCACTACTTCGTATTTCTTGTCCATTGACTCAGCAGCAATGCTTCCTGAGCCCCCGCTCTGGCTGCTGTGCCAGCGAGATGCTGAGGTGGTTCCTTTTGAGGAAGCACAGACCCTGCTTTAAAGCGGGTGCAAGCCAGGAAGCCCACCAGGACGGGTGCCCAGATAGCTCAGAGCCATGCACAGTGTGGGGTCCCATGCCTGTACTGATGAGATGTGCAGTACAGTGACAAGTAGAATTCCAGGACTTCAGAAGAGGGAGAGAGCAACACAACTGGGGGTTCAGAGTCCCTGTCATAGCAAAGATGACAGTTAAGTGGACACACACCCTATTAGCTTTGCTTCTCTACTTACATCTCGCAGCCAAGTACAATTTTATTTGGAGAAATCCTATCTTTAGTGAGTGAGAGATTGACTACAATAAACAAAAAGCTCTTACCAGACACCTCTGGATAACACTGATTCAGGAAAAGAAAGCCTAGGTTTCCTTAAGAGAGTTGACACTTGTGCAACATCCAGCACCATATGTGGTAATCCTTTTGTTTGGGACAAATATACTGATTGTCAAGATATTGAGTTTCTCAAACAGACTGTTGTAGGCTTTTTGCAGTTCTTTCTTAAATAGTTCAGCAAGTGATATTAAATTTCTATACATTCTAAAACAGTGTGAGAGCCCTTCTCACATTGGGCATGTGGGCATCATGATCCTAAACACAATGAAGAGACAGAATCACCTTTGCTCTGAGAGGAGCACCTTCTGTCTTTTCCTAAGAGATGCAAGTCCATCTCCTCCAGCCTCTGTTCCTGACCCTGGGGCCGAAGCTGGCCACAGTGGACATGTGGCCTTTTCTAGACTGCTCTGTGGAGGCTGTCAGCTCTGTGGAGGTGGGGGTGGGGGGCGCGGGATGGGGGCAACTTCCCCACCACATCCTGTGCTAAGAAACCTTGATCCTTGTGAATTGTCATTGCATCTTCCGGAGGCCGTGGGGGTCCAGCTGCTGTGTATAAGAGATGCGACCTGGGGCATGTTACTTTCTCTCTCGGAACCTCAGGTTTTCCCATTGCAAAGCAGAGATGCTCATAGCAGGACCTACCCCATAGGGTTGCTGAGGAGTAACTTGTCTGGCTCAAAAATGTATCAGGTACAGAGTGAGTTCTTCAAATGTGTTAACCGGTGTGGCTGTTGCTATTATTGCCTTAGTTTCCTATGGCTGCTGTGACAAGTGACAACTGACTCCATAGCTTACAACAGCGCTATCTTACAGTTCTGGAGGTCATAATTCCAAAATCAGGCATAAGGGCTCAAGCCAAGTTGTTGGCAGGGCTATACCTTCTGAAATCTCTGAATAGAGAATTTATCCCCTACCCTTTCCAGGCTCTGGAGGCCTATTTCCTTGGCCTGTGGCCCCTTCTCCACCTTCAAAGCCAGCACCTTGGCATCTTCTCTTCTTTGTGACCCCTGTTTCTGTCCTCAAATCTTCTCTCTCTCACCCCCAGGGTCTAATCACCTCCTCACACCACCCACTGGGGGTTAGGACCTCAGCAAATGAATTTGGGGAGACACAGACATTTAGTTCGTAGCTGGTGCCCGGGTGGCGATATCTGAGAATGACAAAACTCAGTATGTACCTCACTGGGCTGCTAATTATCTAACAGCACTCAGCACAGTTCCCCCTCCATACACACAGCTACTGAGTGCATATATCTGGGCCCTCCATTACTTGTGAGAAGACTGCCATTCCATAATGACACTCCCGTTATATAATGATGTATCCTATCTAATAATAGACAAACATGGTAATTGACCGTGCCTTCGCCACACCTCCCATTGGCTAATCAGTGCGATATGCAAATTAATAGCCAACAAAGATGGTGGCTAATTTGCATACTGCAGGTGGGGCTGGCAGCGCACGGTGCTGCCCACAGGCCCTGGACCCCAGACCCCTGACCTGGTGAGGCGGAGCCTGTAGTGTCTGATGCTGCCCAGGGGATCTGAGCCTTGGATCTGTGACCTGGCGAGGGAGCAAAGTGGCAGAGAAGGTAGAGAGCCCAGGTGGCACAGAAGGGAGGGAGTCGAGGGCTAAGTGATGAAGAGAGGGAGTGAGGCAGCGGAGAAGGGAGCGGTCTCAGGAAGCCCTATTCTTGCAGGAATAGGCCCGAGGAAGCCCTATATATATATATATCTCCTGAGATCCTGAAAGAATGAGAACCCCCCACCTTCTCCGGGAGCAACAAGGAAGGACAGGGTGCTGGCTCGAGTTGACTCAGGCACCTCCCAGGCAGAGTAAGAGCTGTCAGAGTCAATTTGTCCCCAATCCTTCCTGTCAATTCTTTGCTCTCCCTGCTTCCTTTCTTGTCAGAACTTCCTCGGCCCCCAGAACATCTGCCTGTGGGTCTTGATCATGGCTGCCCTTGCACCTTCTAAATAAAAACTCTGGTTTTGACCAACATGTGGGGGCTGTAAAGACACTTTAAACATCTTGCAAGCAACTCCTTCCTGGGAGGGATGGAGCAGTCCTGCTGACGGCAGTGTCAACAGTGTCTATTTGTCTAGACCAGGGGTGGGCAAACTTTTTGACTCGAGGGCCACAATGGGTTCTTAAACTGGACCGGAGGGCCGGAAGAAAAGCATGGATGGAGTGTTTGTGTGAACTAATATAAATTCAAAGTAAACATCATTATATAAAAGGGTACGGTCTTTTTTTTTTTTTTTAGTTTTATTCATTTCAAACAGGCTGGATCTGGCCTGCAGGCCGTAGTTTGCCCACGGCTGGTCTAGACTCTAGTGCCACAAAGGTCTACAGCAAAGATCAGCCTGAACCTACAATGTGGGGAAACATAGTGTTAGGTTTAACTCCACAGCCTGACTCCCAAACACCCAGGCCATCTCTTGCCTAAGGGAGTACCCATCCTCCCCTAAGTTTCCCTACCATTACTGCTCTGGCCAACTCCGGGGGGGGATGGGGGAAAAGCACCCATGGACTCCTAGTGTTCTTGGTCATCTGCTCTCCAGGCCTTTGTGTCTAAGCTACTGCACAGGTCATGGGGACAGTGGCCCACACTGAATTCCCCTGTCCACATCAGAGCTTTAGCTCCTTATGGGGCCGGGACCTATGGCAAATGATGTCTTCACCACTAGGTGCCACTTCATCTTGAATCACACAAAGGCCCTCCTAAGCAGCTCTTGGCTCTTGCCCTTATCTTTGCCTGGAAACTCATAGACTCCTCTATTTCTGGCTCTTGCCCCCTTTCCTGCAAAGCTATTTGGGTTGTTATCTCCAGACTGCCCTCTTCTGCCCTCTCTGCCACGGGTGGGCCTGGCAGCAGGGTTGTTGACGGCCATTCCATGTTATCTTCCTTTTTCCTCCATATCAGAACCCTGACCTTGTTCAGGTGGCTGTGCACCCAGTGGGAAGACAACATCCCACGTCCCATAGAGATTTGTGGGACCTTGGCTCCATCTCCAATTCTGATAATAGGTGACTCTTTAACCCTACCTGGTGGCCCTGGCCCTGGTTGATCTAGTGACACAGCAATGCAGGGCTGTGTATGTGCAGGGCACAGTTCACAGCAACATGAGTGGCACTCTCCCAGGATGGTGGTGTTTACCTTGCCCTCTGGGGTTCCCACACATGCTCTGTGGCTCTGTGAGCTCTTGGGACTCCCATCCCAGCTCCAGTCATTGCTCCTTCCCATGTCACCTTCACACAGCCTGTTGCATTCTCTCCATTTGCCCCCTCGAACTCTGTACTTACTGACATAGCCTCTATAGACCAAGCCCCAGACTCCTACAGAAGCAGTGTGCCACCTTCAGATTTATAACAATCTCCTGAATTTTGATGGGGTGGGGCATGCTCTAGACAACCTCTATATATCCAGCTGCTTTCGGACTGTGTGTTCTTGAACCCTTGGTGAAGATATAGTGTACACTTTCTGCCCAGGACTTAAGATAATGGGATGCTGACCCACAACACTGGCTAACTTTACGTAATAGGGTGTACTGGGGAGAGACTCAGAGTGGGGAGCAGGAGAGCCAACAGGGAACATATTTTTACATTGCCAAACCCAAGCACTAAATCTCCCCTGAGAGCACCCCACTGTGCAGGAAATTCCCAAAGGAGTCCGCTGGATGATGAGAACTCAGTACCAATTAGAGTTTAATTCATTTGCTGCCTGCCTCTGTTACAGTAGCATTCTAAGGGTAATGGATGTTTCACAGGCATTCAAAGAACAATAGTGTCTCTCCCATCAGGTGGCTCAGGCTAGTACCTGGACATCACAAGTTTTTTAAGTAGTAATATTGGGTTTTGGCTAATTTCTCCTGCAGGATTATGCACTCTGTAGACATTAAAGCTTTTCTTCCTGAAGGAATTAACTATCATTGTAAATAAAGTTACTCGCTTCAATTAGGCACAAAGATCATGGACAGATTGCCCATTGGTCTGAAGGGCAGATCTGGTCATTCGTGGTCAGATCTGCCCTTCAGACCAATGTGTTCATCTGTTCATCTTCAACTTGGCACAACCATAGTGAACTTGGACCTATCACAGTTCTGCTTATAATTTCATAGGTGATTCTATAAATTGACTGAAGGACCTACTTTTTAAAAAGCTCACACGCACACACACATACATGCATACACATGCACACACATGCATAAAGCAAAAATGTTGCTTTATTTGATCTTTGAAACCAAATTAACATCTTCCCAGCAATGCTATTCTCATACATAAATATCTCATGTTCCTAAAGGCTTCTGATGGTGCCAATAAGCATTTGCTTATAATTTGTTGTTGAAAAACAAAGTTTCAATGCATTCACAGCCCATTTATTTTGCTGATCTTTGAAAGACATCAACCAATTGAACACTAGAGTAATTAATACATGAGTGTACAAACATACATGCACACATACAGACTCATGTGTCAATCATTGCAGGATTCTATAATATACAGAATATATATTCTATAGAGTGAATACACATATTCTATATACAAACTACTTACGTACATATACTCATGTAAATCAGTACAGTATTTTATAAAATACTAGGAGCCCAGCCAGCGATTCGAAATCGTGTGGCGCCGCCCACCCTCAAGTCGCTGGTCCAGCCCTGCCTCGCTCTCAGGTCCTTGAAGCAGCTGTGGTTGTGGCAGCTGCTGATCAGGCCCACACCCAGCGCAGGTGCGCTGAGGCCCCTGCTGCCCTGCCCCCGATGCTGCTCTTCCTGTCTGGTTGACCCGTTAAGGCATCCCGGTTAATTAAACATATTTCTCTATTTTATATATATATTATATATATGTAATATATAATATATATGATATAATGTATAGAGAATATGTATATTCTGTATGCATATATAAATATTCTATATACAAACCACACACACACACTCCTATTCATTCCAATGCAATCTTCCACTTTTCACATAATGTGCATATTTGTATTTTTCTAACCCCTTGAAAGGTGAACCCCTAAGCCTCCTCCAGTGTAAATAATGCATTGCAGTAAAATATGGACTGTCAAACTCAGGCAACAATTAATTATATAGCACATAAATCCTTTCCTCCAAATGACTAATACACAGGCCTTCGTGCATAAATGTTTCTCTGAATTTTGTTTGAACTACTTGCCTCATAACATCAGATGGTGCAGTCAGGATAATTTTCATTAGAAAAATAATTATAGGCTAAATATGGTTAATAAAACATTAACTATAAATTTAAATATTTTAAAAGCATGTCCTTCTAGAAGCAGCTTCTAATGAATTTTGATGAAAATACCATGATTACTTAAGAAAAAAATAAATAGACGTGATTATTGCACACAATTGTGAGATTGATGAATTACAAAAAACACTTTTGACTCGGCAATAATTATTCTGGGTGATCTGCTTCATAAAACTGAGATTATAAGTAGAAAAAAACATAATAATAATTCCTCACAGATGACAGACTATGTGGTCTAATTTTGATTCATTCTAGATTCTCAAAATTGTAGTTATTAGTCAATTGTAAATCCTTCAAGTTTTGAAGTTTAAAATAATATCAAAATGTAAACTTCTGTTAAGAGATTTCACATTGATTTAAAGGTTCAACAAAGAGGCTTTCCATCAGCTCTGAGAAAGGGTGGGCCTCCCCTCCTCACCTGGGAGAGTGTGTCTGAGGGTAAAACTGACCTGCCCCCAGCGGTCTCAGTCCTGTCCCCATCCCTTCTTGGTGGCATCTCACTATCACCTGTGTTTTCTCAGCATTACTTGTCCTCTTTACTTCTTCCTTAAGGTCCCTTTGGGTCTTCCACTCAAGACTAACATTGGAATCTGTTCTGAATGTGCACACTTTGGGATCATGGTTTTGGGATCTCCTCAGATGACAGTAGCTCATCAGATTCACTAACAAGAGCCACTTTTCAAAAGAAAGAAGCTTAGTCAAGGCAGCTCCTGCCTCTCCACCTGGCCCCTTAGAACATGAGGCCAGCAACAGAACCCTGGTGGCCATCAGAGGGGCCTTGGGTGATCGCTGAGGCTTGTTGGGCCTCTTCTCAGTGTTGGAACCAATTCTTTTTTTTTAATTTTTATTTTATTTTATTTTATTTATTTTTTAAATCTTTTATTACAAAGGGTATTACATATGTGTCCATTTTTACCCCCGCCCTAGACAGTCCCCTGCCTCCCCTCCCGCTGAAGTTTGACAATCTGTTTGAGGCAGCTCTGCCTCTGTATCTATTATTGTTCAAAAGTTTATAAAGGTCTCAATTATCCATGAATGAGTGAGATCATGTGGTATTTTTCCTTCATTGACTGGCTTATTTCACTTAGCATAATGCTCTCCAGTTCCATCCATGCCGTTGCAAATGGCAAGAGTTTGGAACCAATTCTTGCCTGAGTTAAGAACACAGTAGACTAACCAGGGCCCCACACAGCTCACAAAGGGAACTTTCTTGATACCAATGGCTAGGAGACTATTAATCTCAAAGATTTGTTCTCTCTCCCTGTGTGCCACAGAAGTCACGAACATGGCATTCGTGACTCCCCTGGTCTGTGGAGGGTGGAGTAAGTCACTGTACTGAGTCATAGGAACCAGAGAGGCCTTCTGGCTGCTGGGGGAGGGGGGTGAGAATGGGATGCAGAATTTAGTTGGTTACCCCTACTTTGGATAAGAAGGTTCCTTCTTGGATGGGACCAAACCCCACATGGACAGCACTGGGTTTGCAAACATGTTTACCATAACAAGAACAAGACTGTCTTTATGCAAAGACTAATTTCCTTAGAGGCTCTCATCACATGAGGATGAACAAGGGGACTCTGGTAAATTGGTTTGATAGCACTTACCCTGATCTCTTTTCAAATTCCACATTTTTAAGCAGATTCCATCTTACTAATTCCCTTTCTAATTCCCTTAGAGTATGATAAAAACTTTACCCCTGCTTTTCAGTATCAGGCTAAGACAGGACATGTGTGAGGTTGGGCAGGTCAGGAAACTTCTCTGCTCTCTCTGGTGGGACATAGGAGTGGGGCTCCTGTCTGCCTGTCCACAGGCCCATCTAGCTCTGCCGTGGCTTGCACTGGCTGGTGGCTCACTCTGACGCCTCTGCTCTTTGTTCACTCAGCAGCCCTGGCTTGGGTACGAGGTCTCTCCTTTTCTCACACTAGGATGGAAGCTATTTGGAGTCAGCTCTGGAATGGGCTCAGGCCCCAGAAGTGAGGAACCGAGGAGTTGGGAGAGGTTGCTGGAGGGACCTGAGAGTCCCTGTGAGGCTAACTCTAAGATCTGCTGTTGTGTCTGGGATGGAGCTGGGCAGGCAGAGGAGGGAAGAAGGGCTCTCTCTCCTTTAAGTCCTCCCAGTAGCGGGGTTGAAGGTGGGAACAGAGGACACAGAAGAGCCCTTCCCCAGCGTGGGCTGGATCCTGGGGGTAGGGAAGGCTGGTAGCCTCAGGCCCTCTTTGCTCTGCCTGACCAGGTCAGCACTGATTTGGGTACCTCCCTGTCTACACTGTGTGTCCAAGCCTTTCCTAACATCTCTTGGCACCTGCCTGGAGCAGGCACCCACAATGACATCCATATCCTCCTGGCTTCTCCTTCCTGCACCTTCCCCTCTGAAAGATGTAATTCTCTCCCTGAGTCTCTCTTCTCTCTTATGATTATGATGCTCCTTGCTGCCTGGTTCTTGGTGTGGCATCCAGGATTCCTGCTTAGCCACACCTGCCTTCAGACACCATGCATCCCTTCCTGTCTCCTGACTGGTGGCCTTTTCAGACCAAGAGAGAAAGCCCTACTTTTGTTGGCTTTAGCATCTTCCCCAGACTCCCAGGCAGGGCTGTCCCCTCTTTAGCTCCTGTCTCCCTTGATCCTGACCTGCTTCCGTTGACTTTGGGTAGGTGTTGCTGGGCGTGCCCCCATAAATCCAGCAACTCAATCTTAATCACCTCTCTCCTTTCTCACTTTGAACTTGACCTGCCAACAGCAGACACCCAACAAATGTGTGCTGCATTGAATTGAAGACCTAGAGATGCAAATGGAAACTTTTATTCCCCTCACATTGAGAGTGTGGGCTGTTCTCCACTTCACCCATGCGTGGGTCTCAGTAAAGCCGCTCGGTGCCCAGGAAGAGTGAGAGGGGTGAGGAGGCAGTAGTGAGAGGGAAGTTTGTGCAAACACCATTTGGAAAAATTAGAGGAGGCGTGTTCTAGGAAGGACCAGTGATGCACAGATTTTCAAATAGGAGCTGTCGGGCAGGTGAGGTTGCAGGTGGGCATGTTATCATAATCCTGTTCCAGATCACTTTCAACAAGAGTTAAATAAACAACATGATTCAATGAACAGAAAGTACCAGGGAATTCCCCACATACCAGGTACAAAGAGCAGAGGAGATGAGAATTAATGTCGGTTATGCTGTAATTACTACGGATCCGACACCCTTCATTATCAGCGATTTACATCTTCAAATAGCCAAAGACACAACCTCAGAGATGCCCGTTTGCCTTATTTTCACTGTGTTGTCTTGGGACTCAGAAAGTAAGGTCCCTAGGCTGGTGCCTCCTTACAGGGGCCCATGCCCTCCTGAGTTGGTAGGCAAGAAAGTGCTAGTCACCCTGCTGGAGAGACAGATCAGGAAATAAAGGTTTGCTTTGCTCATCATGAAACCACAATAAAAACTCCCTGTTTTGCTTTCTGTAGTTGTGTGTGTGAGATAAATGGTATATTTTCAGGACATTGAGAGATCTGTTGGGACATTCAAAATGCCATTGCCAACATTTTTGGTGAGTTCATTGTCAGTGAATCAGAAACATATGACTTAAATTACCATAAAAACCCATGTTTAGAATTTAATGAAAATGGTCTTTGGCAAATGGACACTGAGTGTCATCAGAGGAGGTTGGAAACAGACTGAGGAGGGGCCAAGGATCATTCCCAGCGGTGGCACCTGCATCAGCCTGGCTGCACAGCTGAGCTGTGTCCTGACACTGTGTGCGATGTCGTCATCCCACAGCAACTCTGCTGCCCAGCACTTGGGCCTGAACCTGAGTCTGCCCCTCTTCTCCCTCCCACCTCTCCCTATGCCCATGTTGTTCTGCTCTGCTGTCCATTTGGGGAATGTCTAGCTTGTGAGTTCCCACTGTGCTGTCATTCCCAGAGCTCTGATCACTAACACCCGATGCTTCCTACAGGGAGGCTGGTGATCAGTGCTGATGTGTGGTGGAGGTGATGGCAAAGCACACTGGGACTTGTCTCCAGGCCAGCGTGTCCCTTACCCCCGTTCCCTTCTCCCCCTTTCCCTCCCTCTATCGCTCTTACCTCGTCTCTCTCCCCTCTTCTCTCTCTCCCTCTTCCTTCTCTCTGTTTCTTTCTTTATCCTGAAACAGAAATAAAAGAATGCACACTTTTCTTAGCTTAAATCCAACTATATTTTCAGGTGTCTGTGTTTGTGAGAAAAGTGGGAAATGGATCTGTCTCCACTCCTCCCTTTTATTTTCATCTCTGTCTCTACTTCTGTTTTCCCATTTCTTGTCTCTGTATATGTGCATATGCATGTGTATAACTACATTACTATTACATTTTTCACTTGATATCTATCCATGTCTAGACTTCCTAAATTGTTCCATTTCATTCTGTCTAATCTTTGCAGCACCATCGTTTTTGGTATGTTGGTACCCAGTATATCTGGTAAGGCAAATATTTACTCATTGCCTCTTTAAACATTTTCTTGCATGTTTATTTTCCAGGTAACCTTTAGAAGTATTACACCCGATTCTTAGAGAGATTGCATTAGAACTAACTAACATTGCATTAACCATATAAGCATTTTGAGGAAAATTGATCTCTTCCAATGTTAAATTTTGTCCCCTGTTAACTTTTCTCCCCTTCTACCTCATTGAGAAAAACCTCCCAGCTCATTGTCTTGTAGATGGTCACCCCATTTCCCGATCCTTGGCAACTGCTGTGTTCCTCAGACTCCATGTAGGATGATGGAATATGAGTGGAGGTGGGAAGGCAGTTCCCAGGTTGGACCTGCCCAGTGGAAGCTGCCCTGACTCTTATCTCCGCTTCCCACAGACAGCCCTAGGCAGAGGGGTGGGCCACCCTCAACCACAGCCCACAGGAATGTCGAGTGACACACCCCACACAGCAAGAAGGCCCTGGAGGCTGCATGGTCTCATGGAGCAGAGCTGCCCCAGCACAGGGGCACTCCCTTCTGGAGACTGTCCTATCAGGGAAAGGCCTTCTCCAGGCCACTTCATGTGTAGATCTCTGTGAAAGCAGCTTAGTCTGCATGCCACAGGGCGACTGTCCAAGAATACAGCACCTTGTCCCATTTGTCCAAAATTCTAAATATCCTTTGGTAAGACTGTTAGGAGTTTTCATTGTATTGAATTTATGCCTAGTTATGTTATCATTTTTGTTGCTGTTATAAAGAGTTTCACTTATTACACAATAACTTGTGGTTGACAATATGTGGGGAACATTGATTTTGAGAATTTATTATCTGGCTTTATTGCTAATTTCTATTTATAAATTTTAGTTTCCTCTTGCATCCATGTGTGAACATTTACAAATATTTCACATGCAGATGATATTCTCCTTTGTCCTTTTTCCGATGTAATGATCTGAAGGCTCAGTGGCAATAGCTGGCCAGGTCTTTTCTTTAAATCCCTTTACTTACATAAACGCACTGTTCTCTACTGACACATCTCCTCTATGATACCTCTTCTAGGTCATACCTTCAACGGCTCCAATGCCCACCTGAGTTTCTCCACTTCGATGTCTTTTTCTACCCTCATGCATTCAATAAACCCACATGCTCTGAAAAGCCAGCTTTCCCTGGAGGACCATGGTGCTGAGCTTAATTGCCTGGACTACTTTCCATTATCCCATCCTTTTTCTTTTCTCGGGTCTAGGTGCATCAGCTCCTGCAGCCTCTGCCTGTCCAGCCCTCAGTGGCCATGCTGCATCTGGGCCTTTCTATGCCCTTGGTCCATACTGTTTATGTAG